GAAAGAAAGAAAGAAAGAAAGAAAGAAAGAAAGAAAGAAAGAAAGAAAAGAAAGAAAAGGAGGAAGGGAAGGAAAGAAGGGAAAGCTCTTGTTGATTGGCAATTAAGGAATTTGTAGTACTTCTTCTGAATTTTATTCAGAAAAGCTATAGTGATCTTTTCTCATAGCCCAGAGGTTGTCCCAGGGAACACAAGAAGCATCAGACACAGGAATTGACATAAAGGGGTGTTTTCAGGTCTTTCTGGCATGTGGCAGGTATAAAATTTGGGCCATTATGGCGTTTTGGGTGTCCCCGAAGCTGTTCTCACAGTCAACTTTACTTTGAGAGGGACGCATGACTTCCCAGTCACAGAGTGTTGAGTCACTCAGATGGTACTGAGGGGACCTTCTAACACCACAACAAGCATTTTCCAAGCAGTGACTCAGCGCATGTCTTGCGCATTGGATGGGAAACGCCAATAAGCTGATGAAAGTTATCTTCCATCTATAAATACCTTCAGCTCTTTAACACCCACATGCTTTACAAATCCAAGAGGGGCTTGGGCTCACTGTGCAAGATCATTTGTACTGTTTCTATTTTCCCAGTACTCTGCCCCACTTTTTCCTAAAAGGTCCAGCTGACATCCTCAACAGTGGCCCCACCTTGTAAAATTCACCGCCAGGAGGGCTGAAAATATGACTGGAAAAAAAACCAATTAGGAAAAGAAACAAAAGGTACCAGGATGTACCTCTGTGTTCACCATGACCCATAAATTTTATTGGGGGTTTTTTAATCTCGGCCCTATGGACATCTCAGACCTCATCATTCTTTGTTGGGGGGGAGCATCCTGTGCATCGCCGGATGTTTCAAAGCATCCTCAGCCTCTACCCACTAGATGAAAGCAGCACCCACCCCAGTAGTGATGTCTGCTGACATTGCTAGATGTCCCTAATGGGGGCAGGGGGGAGGGGTCGCTTTGCCCCTCATGGAAAAACACTGATGTAATCCAAAAGGATGAGGTCCTTAAGAAACATGCCTTATATTAGTTTTCAGTCTTATATACTGCCATATGTAAGTATAAAATAACACATGACCCTAGTGTGCATTTTCCTGGTGAAGAGAACTCCCTCCCATTTTGGCACAGTGCCTCTTGTGTGCAGTTAGCGGACTGTTTCTGATTCCTGCTGCAGTGCACTTAGCTGCACCCACCTAACAGACAATGCATGCCCTTTTGGCAGTGCAGACCTCCAGTAACACCCGGGAGGAACTAGCTGAATGCATACAAAACGTTTCCAAAACTTTCTAAGCACATATTTCAGTGTGGCTTTTTTCCCCCTTTAAAGCAGAAAAATCCTCACATTCAGAGAAGATTTTACTTCAAAGATACTGTCAATAAAGCAACAGTGATAGGTTTACAGTAACTATCCACCTGAGCCTTTTACTCCCTCAGAGATTTGTTTTCTGGTGAGATGGGCTTTGTTTTAATCTTTAACATCTATTCTGGGCACCTATATAGCCCGTAGCCAAGAGGACCCCATTCAGAATTACATAGTCTGAATTTTAGAAATCACCTTGCATATCTTATGAAAGCATCATGAGAATCCAGTAAAGAATCTAAAAACAAAACCGCAAAGGTGTCTGTAAGAAAATGTTGACGGCTGGGGTGCCTGGGTGGCTCAGGTGGTTGAGCCTCCAGCGTCGGCTCAGGTTATGATCTTACAGTTTGTGAGTTCAAGCCCTGCTTCGGGCTCACTGCTGTCAGCTCAGAGCCTGCTTTGGATCCTCTGTCCCCCTCTCTCTGCCCCTCCGCCACTTGCGCTTTCTCTCAAAGAAAGTAAGAAAGAAAGAAAGAAAGAAAGAAAGAAAGAAAGAAAGAAAGAAAGAAAGAAAGACAGACAGACATTGGCAGCCTCCACCCCTTCTTTCCTATCAGAAGCATCTACAGCAGCATGCCTCACATACAGTAGACACTCAGTAAGTAATGTGAATGTTCTTTACAAACAGTTCCTCCAGGAGGTATTCCTCCTATGGCAATGAATGAAGGCAGAGGTTGACCCTGACTGACAGTTGTTAATGCATCTGTTAGGTCCAGTATCTTCCGGTAAATGTTTCCTGCTGAACTCAAAGCCATATTGAGGGTAGAGGGATGGGAACCATACAATATCACTGACATCTTTTAACGGTAATTGAGGTGTTTCTGATTTAGCCCAACGGGATGCTTATCATTAAACACTACTTAGGTAGTTTCCATGGCTAAATTTTGTCTCATGACATCAACAGGTAGGATTCCAGGGAGTCCTTTACTGCTTTGGCAAGCACTTTGCCTAGGCTAGACGAATCCGCGTACGAAATCCTCCTGTGCGAGGCTGAAAAGTGCGGCGAGGTTATTTGTGGGAATATTCTAAGAGTTACACCACAAAGTCAGTGTCGTGACAGGGGGTCCTTTGCTTCAGTGACATCCTCCTCCATAAAACCACGGCTAAGGAGCCTTCCACTGTTGCATTTTCCGCAGGCGTTAGACGGCTTCATCATCGCAGTGACCACGGATGGCAGCATCCTCTATGTTTCAGACAGTATCACGCCTCTCCTGGGGCATTTACCGGTAAGTGTCTGCTCTGCTGACCTTTGCCAGTACACATTATCATCTTACCTTGAGAACCATTCAGATCTCAGATCAGGGGTGACGTAGGTATGAGGGGGTGTGTGCGTAAGAAAAGCTAATGGTGTTCTCAGCAGGAACTTCCCTTCTAGAGGAAGGGCAGACGCAGGCATGTGCCATTCTGGAACAAGCGAGGCACCAAGATCTTGGCAAACCCCGACCTGTCAGGGGGACATGGGAGCAGGTCCTCACCCTCTGTAGCCCAGAAACCATGCAGCAGCTGAACCGATGAGAGAGTCCCAGCACAGTTAGCAGATCTTAGAGCCTGTACCGAGGCTGATGGGTGTCCCTCCAAGGGAAAAGCCGACTTCCTGGGTCAAAGCAGAGCTGGTGGAGGAATGTACAACAGATGGATGGTGATGGGGCGTGGTTTGGGGATCACTGAGGACATGTCTGAGATCACAAGTGGGTGGTGACACTTAATGGTAGTAAGGGATCTGTGATGGGGGGATGGAGGGTGGGGGGAGAGTTGAACTATTCTGAGAGGATGTAGTTGGACCAGGGAGGCCTTGGGGAATGAGAAGAGTGTGGACAGCAGGACAAGCCCTGCTGTCCAGGGGAGCCAGGTGGAGGCTCAGAGTGGGGGTGGGTGCTGCTTGACAAAAACCATCCTAGATGCTCTTCCCTCCCCTTCTTCCTCCTTCTTTTGCTACCTTCTTGCCTCTTTGCCTCTCCTCCTTTCTCCCTCTCCTCCTCCTCTCTACATAAGTCCTCCTGGCACCCTGCTAACCCCCACTCACCAAGCAGCACCTAGCCTGTGGAGGGTCCACCTCTGGGGATCTCTCAAAGGCGTTTGGCCGGCCTTCCACTTCCTGCCACACCATTATTTATTCCTACAGAGTGTGATCTTGAATGACAGCTCTACCAGGAGCATCCCAAATGAGATAAAAACCTCTCTTCTCTCTCCTCCCAACAAGCCCTGCCAGACCACCTAACCCCACCACTTCCCACTCCCCGCACATGGGTGGGTGGGTGGCCAGCAGATGTGATAAGGAGGGTAACTGCTTCCCCTAGTTCCTGTACAAAGGAAATCCTGGGCTAGGAAGACACTGGAGGACCATGGCCGCTTCTCCTTAGCTGCACCTGACAGAGAGCAGCGTGGCCTTGCTCTGTGAGCAGCTCTGCTTCCTTGGGGTGATGAACCCAGCTTTGCTACTGGCCCAGGATTCCATGCTGTCCTGGGTTATGCTTGTCCTCGGAAGCCACTCCCCATTTTATCATTTCTGCAAATGACACTGTGTGGAGATCAAAGCCACTGTCCACATTTTTCCTTTGCTTGGTCATTGTGTGACATAGCCCAGAAAAGCAGTTTTTACCTTGCTAGGCAGATGCCTTTGAATTACCCCATAATCTGTCTAACCTTTGTGTTTTGGCCCACTCCCTGCACCATCTCCAAGTGAATTAGGTGGGGGTGGCGGGGGGGTGGGGCTATCTCCTCTTGATAGCTGTCAGAGAGGCTGGTTCTCATTTAGTCCCAAGGAGACAAAAGCACAGTTTCACCCTGGTTTTATCTGAGGCTAGAATAGTGATGAGGCCGATACGAGGAACACAGAAGTGATCCCACCAAATCAGCCCAGCTTCTTTGGGCTGATCTGAGGTGGCTGAGGAAAAAGAAGTGATGGGGTGCTTCTTCGGAGGAGTCTGTGTTTTGTCTTGAAGGGATGGACTGGGGTCATGACAGGCACCGATTGAAAGCAATGACATGGAGCCTCCTTAATGACCCAGGAATGAGATGCAGGAGCCCAGAGATGTTTGGGCAAATAGGATTTGCTCTGTTCTGCTTTATGCTTTAGTAATTATCTAATGACCCAGTTGCTATACATGACAGAGGGGAGTCAGAAAGTAAGTCTGGAATTCTGATTTGAAATTACGGAGCATTTTAGGACCACCTATGTGAATGATTCTGTAACTCTGGAAGGATCAGAAATGACCCTGTCTCTGGCTTATCAATGCTAGAGACTCATATGAATCATGAGCATCTGTCAATACACAGACCACACCCAGACACACATAGAGTCAGCCCTTAAAATCTCTCCAGGGGAGGTGAGCTCAGGATGGGCAATCCCCAAACTTAACTTCTATTTAACTTACATTATCCAGTTTTTATCCAGAGCATCACCTTCTTCTTTTTTTTTTTTGCTTGCATCTTTGTTCTCGTGGGTGGACAAGGGAGACTAAGGATGGATGCTTCCCAGGTGCCAATCAGTCACCGGCTGGTTCAGCAGAGGAGCCCATCCAAGAATACCTCTATCCCCTCTATTTTACAAAGAAGGAAACCCAAGGTGGCCCGGCCAGTGAAGTGTAGAGCAGGGCCTAACCCAGACATGACTGCCTGCAGAGCCCAAGCTCATCACTACTCGGCTCCGGTGTTATTCCTGATGCCAAGGGTTGGAGTTGTCATTTGGGAATTCCGCTTTTGGTTTAATTCACTTTGAGTCTGACTTAGTTACTACTCAGCATGAGCCGAGGACTTGTCCACAGCTTGTCCACAGACAATGCAGCCTTTCGAAAGGCCCACATGAGATTATTTTCCCTTAAGGGTTTGCAGTTTTGTTGAGAGATTTCACCTGTAAAACCATTAGGGACTAATCGGAAAATAGCCAACAAGTATTGAGCACTTACTATGTGCCAGGCACCACTAAGAGTGCCTCCCGTGAGTGAATATGTGTAAAGCACTTAGTACCTGGCACAGAGCTAGAGCTATATCACATTCGCTCTCCTTACCCTTATAATTCTTACAATGACTCTGTGAGATAGGTACTTACCCCAGTTCAAAGATGAGGAAGCTAAGGCACACAGAGGTTCAGGTTCTATAGCCAGTAAGTGGTGGGGCTGGAATTTGAACTCAGGCATTTTGACTCCAGGATTGGTTGCTTAACCACTACTCAGAATTCTATATAAGACAGAGTAAAGTTCGGTGTACTCTCAGGGTAGGGAGACTGGTTAAGAAGAGAGGATGGGGAACTGAAAGGTAGTGGTCAGTCTTCGTGGGAGAGGTGGCCATTGAGGGAGGGCACGTCCAACAGAGACGCAGTGTGGGCAGGGAGCAGGAGGCTGTGGGCCCCGGCAGCAGGTCCCCATCGGTATCAAAGGCTGGCACACCAGGGGTTAGGTCCCACTATCGCTTGCGTGGCCTGGGATTGGAGGCCCATCCATGATTGGGAAGGTTGGGGGACAAAAAGCAGCAAGAATTCCTTTCTATTTCGAGACTGTCAGGTTTATAGTCTCTCTGTCCCCTTCCTACTACCAGAAACTCAGACATGGCAAAAGCTCCCGTGATAGATTTCTGTATAGCAATCTTCTGCTGAAACATGCTAGAACTTTCTCTCCCAACTTGATAGAGAAAAAAAGAAGAAAATAGCTCAAAGAAGAAAATGATGTTAAGACAAAGTCAAAACTTTCCTGTGGTGGCGATACCAGTACATTTCAGTATCTAGAATTAACGAACACAGGTGGTCAAAGAAGAAACATGGGCATGGCGGACGAGTGTGCACATGGAAGACCAAGGGCTAGAGGGAGCTTCTGAAATGAAAACTTTCCAGGAAAGATCTAAGGGACTCTAAGTCACATGCCTCTGACAGACTTGGGAAAGAATCATATGGCTGAGGCAGAACCAAATGAGAGACTCAAAGCAGGCATAATCTGTGTTTCCTGTTTGGACTTTTGTTTGAGTTTCTAAAAAATCTTCCCAGGTTGTTGTTTTGATTTGTTAATGATTGCAATGTTTGCTGAATGAGGGGGATCATGCTAGGCCCATAAAGCAGAAGTCCTGTCTCTAGCCCAGAGCGCAGACCCCATGTGGCTAAGTGTTCACTGGGTGATGGGCTGAGGTCTTAAATGGGGCTGCTACCTCAGGAGCAATTGCAAACAGCTCTGGGAAGTGCCTCAGAAGTGAGAAACATGGGCGTGGACAACACCACTTCCCCAGTGGGAGATAATCTAGGGCATGAGTGATTATAAAGTTGGAGAAATCTACAGACCAAAAATTACTTCTGAGGAATGCTGGTTCTCCTAAGCTCCAGCAAGCAGTGCAAGATCAAAGTGGAATAAGGGAACAAATTCCCGTGGTGAGGGTCACAGCAGGGAGAGGAGGTCATGAATAGGAAAGACAGAGCTCTGGGCTGTGTTACCACACAATGTAGCAGCAAGTCCGTGAAACACCTTCCAGGAAACATCGCTCTTCCCCTTCCCCCTCCACCTGCCCTCACCTGCTGGAAGAACCTACCTGATCCCAGTCACCTGGTCAAAGGTGGCTCTTGGTGGGGGCCAAGCTGGGGGTCCCTCTGTCTAGGAGGGGTGTGGCAGGTGTGGCTACATGCAGCTCAGAGTTGGTCACAGGTTGAAAGAGTCCAGGTCACCAGTTAGATTGTTTTTATTTTAATGTGCCTTTTGATTTTTATAAAGCATACATGCAAAAGTATGTATAAAACATACCTGATTCAGTTTTTAAATTGACGATAAAGTGAACAGGAACATACAGGTAGCTGTCACTGAGGTGAAGAAACAGAATATAGCCAGGACCGTGGAAGCTCCTGTCTGTTCTTTTCCCATCATACCCCCACCTTCCAGCCAGAGGTGACCATCTTCCTGGCTTTTGAGATCATTGCTTTCTTGTTTTTCTTTGCAGTTCTACCAAGTTGTGGTAGTTCAGTTCTGTCACTGAACACTGTAATTCAGTACTACCTTTTGTTTAACTTCATGTAGAATAGAGCCATAGGAAATGTACTCCTTTTGCTCAACATGGTTTATGAGATCCATCCATCCCACACCGTTAGTAGTGGCTGTCATGGGTTTATTTTCACTGCTGCCCAGTATTCCACTGGAGGAATGGGCTAAAATTTCTGCATCTGTTCCAGCTTGGAAGTCTTAGAAAGGGCTTTTTGTGAACACGCTGCGTGTGTTTCCTGATGGACATCTGCAAGCATCCTATAGGGACTATGTGT